TGCAGGTCACATCATGGTCCACAGGGCCTGAGGGTGGACCCTGAGCTTCATGCTGCTCAGAGTCCTCTTTGAGGTGGGATCCAGAGGTAATGTGGTGACCCTGGGTCCTCACCATTGATTTTCAGTTTGTCAGAATTTAAAAGTGTATGTTACACAAGTAATTAAAGTGTCATTGATTACCACACTAAGTTAATAATTAATGTATTGCATGCACACAGTGAGTAAGCCATTCACTTGTTTATTAGTGTAACACATGCTTTTCATCTTTCTATGAAGATCAGAAGCTGAGTGACTGGAACTTTGGAGTGGGGACATTTCCTGGTCCACTTCTTCTCTACCCTTCAGGAGCAGGGAGAACAGTGCTGAGAACTTCAATTCTCTGGTCTGGGTCGTCTCTGTGGTCCTGCTCTCTTGCAGTGTGGATCCACCTGAGGCTTTCATCTGGTCAGCCCCCACAGTGTTGAATGCTTTTCTTCTTCACCTTCCCTACCCAGGTTGCAGCATAGGCAGAGTCTGTGGTTCCCGCAGGTCCTCAGGCCCATTGGTCTGTGGGGCAGCTGCATTCTTCATATCCTGAAGCAAGAACTCAGCAGCTCTCACCACTGCAAGCCTGACTCAAGATTCTCACATCTGTTTTTGTGAGAAATGCAGGCAATGTTTTGACCTCACCCTCCCGACTCAAGTGTATGAAAATCTTACCCAGTACCTGTCCTCGTTCTTTTTTCTTCTTGTGTCTCACTTCTAAGAGGGTCACATGAGCCACAGAATCTCTAATGCTGCCCATTCATGGAAGAGGGTCATCTATGTTTGCCACACTCAGCAGATCAGAGCTGCTGCTGAATAAACTGAAGAAAACAATGATAAATGTGTGAGATGTCTAATGGACCCTTTGAAAAATGAATAACCCTGTGCTGCTTCTAACTTATATTGGATGGAGAAGCATGATGTGAACTAAAATTTTTCTTCTATATTAGAAACAAGCAAGACTCTATTATAACAATAAGAAAAACACTGAAAAGTTATGTGAAAAACAAAAATGTACATCTATCACTTTTGAAAAAGCTAATATTTGTGGTAACAGCATAAGAATTAGCACTGCAATGAATCAAGTTAATATTAGGAAAGAAAATTGAAAGAATGATTTCTGTTCAGAATGCATAATGAGTTAATCTCACATGCATATGATACAGTTTTGTTCTTGGCTATTGTATTGTTTTATTTTCATGTGCATAAAATGCACATCTTTCTAGGCAACCACTAATGTGAGTCTGATCTGACGGAATTATCAGGGAAGCTATTCCTACAGGTGGCTGTGCACATGAGTCAGAGGACAAATCCAGAATCAGTCAAAATCTTATCAGCAAATAACCAAGTTTGCCAGATTGAGGAAGAACATTTAAACTAAAAGGAACCACAGCAGCTGTCCTTAAAGAAATCAGCTGCAATGAGAAAAATCATGAAAAACAATCAGGGAGGTTTTCATCACAGGTTGAATCACTGTGGGACACCCATTGTAATCCTGGAAATAGTGATAAACTGCAATGTCCTGGGGATGCAGGCTGCTGATGGTGAGAGTGAAATCTGTCCCTGACCCACTGCCACTGAACCGGGCTGGGACACCAGTGGCCCTGCTAGAGGCAGTATAGATGAGGAGTCTGGGAGCCTTCCCAGGTTTCTGCTGGTATCATTCTAGGTAGTTGCTCACACCCTAACTGGCCCTGCAACTAAGAGTGACTGTTTCTCCAAGAGACACAGCTGTGCTCAACTACTGAGAGCAGTTCTGTTACCCAGCCAGGTTTAGAAGCTGCCTGGGGCTTTAGAAGAAGGAACAAGTCACTCCTCTATACCTTTAATCTGTTTCCTTTTCCTCAGCTCCAACAGCAGAGACAGCACAGCCCCTGTGCCAATTAAGTGAAGAGCATAGATGAGCACCTCTGAGCCGTGTGGTTGACGGCATAGTTTTGGATTCAGATAGCAACATAGTAGCCCTTCTCTGTGTTCTAAGAAAGCATTTTTAAAGACTTCCTTCAATTTTTAGTGTGGAGTTGCTCAGAAAAAGGTTTAAAATAGAGAGTCGGCCCTCATTACCCTGTACACATGGCTCTGCAGTCTATCATCCACATCCAAGGACAATTTTGTTACAAACTATCAAAATACATAAATGTGTGAAGTCTGTAGTTCGCATGGAGTTCACTATTGAAGCTGTACATTTCACAAGGGGAAAAATGTGCAATAAAGAAGGCAGTGTTTGCTACTGTGCAATTTTGTTTCACTGTCCTAAAAATCCTTTGCCCTAAAAATTATCCCTTTTCATTCTCCTCCAATCCCTGCCAGTCATTTGTGTTTTATCATTCCCATCATTTATTCTTTTCCAAAATGACAAAATCTTGCCTTTATAGCATAGGATTTGAAAGATAATCTCAGAATACACAGTACTAAGAAACATAATAATTAAAAATATTGAGGAACACCTCTTAGCTCTTACAAGGTTCTCTTTATCCCTTCTGTGCCCTCTGTTCAAGACTTGGAGGCCTTACTATGCACCTCTTGCTGGTGCTCTACATCTTCTACAAAGTCCTTGCCTGTCACAAGCTCTCAGCAGAAAGTGGTCACTCTCTCAGGACAAAGATCAACCTGAACCAGGTGGAGCAGTGAGCTGCAGACCTGGACCTGTGGCCCTCTGAGTGCTGGTGCTCTGGGTGCAGGTGAGACAGCAGGATGTGGGGAGGCCTGCATGACTGGGCCCATAGGACCCAGGAGTAAGAGGCTGAGACCCTGTTCACTGTGCCCCACATGCACCTTCCACTTGATCAGCCAGCAACACTCTTTCTGGGAAGACCCCAGTGTGGGATATCATTCACTGAGGGGGTCATATGTGTCCTGCTTCTGCCTTTACATTCTAGTGACATTATTGTGGGATCCAGGGCCCAGGTTCTCCTTCAGAATCTCTTAAGAGAAATAGTCTCCACCACTTTCCTTGCAGCATCAGAATCCAGGGAAGTTTCCAAAGACTCAGCATGTGCTGTGTATTCCTTGGCTTGAATCTGTCTATAATAGTGCTTGAGACACAGGATAAATTCTCCAAGTAAATTTATAGATGAAACTTAATTAAAAATAGAAGCATAATTCCACAGTTAAACTAGACGTAGATCCAGGGCTGAATAGAAATATGTGGCTCATGTCTGGATTATTGATCAATAGGGGTGCATACACTTAAATCATTTTAGAAAATCATTTTGATATTGACTGTTCACATTTCCTTTATCACTCATATTGCTGTAGACAGAGACAAAACTTCCCTAACCTGTATCCCATAAGCCTGGTGACATAGATGTTTACTCTGCTCTGTAGCTTTTGATTCATATTCCCCCTCTAATGAATTAATATTTATTTCAGGATGAAACCTGCCAAAATAAATCTAAGCCCTCAATCCTTTTCAATAAGATTGCTACAGTTTTCTAACTCCATTCTTTCTTGGAATATAACTGAGGATTGTGTGGGGTGAGGATTATCTGATGGCCTTTATTGAAATCCATAATGGCACACTTGACTGACTGTGAGCAGGACAATGGGAGTGGGAAAGGAGGAAGCAGGAGAGGAAAACAGCATTATCCCAATTGTGAACATTCTTGGAATGAGGAGGAAGTAGGAGATGTTGTTTTTCACCTTAGCAGTATTAACTACTCTGTAAAATGCAAATTCACGAGGTTTTTCTTTATCTGTAACTCAGTAAAACAATGTATTTGTGTTTATTACCTTAGAAAATAATCTTAGGGTAACTAACAAATATGGAAGTATTGTACAGTGAGTTCGTTTTGTTGACAGTCTTTTAGGGGAACTATATGTTACCTCAGGTACGAATAAGTACCTGGAGGGAAAAAACACGTAAGACTTAAATATTTAAGTAAAGTATCTCAAAATACCTATCACTATAGATTTTTGAATGAAATCACAAATGAACCAACTTATACAGGTGTTAATTGCTAATTATGCAAAGATAGAATCTTAAAAATTCATGATATAAAAATTCTAAGAAGTAAAGGTACACCTGAATAAAATTAAGTTTTTTTGTTTTGTTTTGTTTTGTTTTGTTTCTATCTTGAAATGAACTTTCAGTGTGTGGAGTAAAGTGTTTGCTATTCTGAGATGGTGGCTCTCTTGTGAGCTCTCAAAATAGGATGTGATAATACATGTGTCCAAATAAATCTTATGGGTCATTTCTCTTTAGTACTCTAACTGTATTATAAAAGTAGTTTACAATGCCATCCCTTACAGTCGTGTGGGAAGAGGTTAGCTGATAGCATTTCTCTACTCAACCTATAATCACAGCCTTGTCTCTGTATTACAAGGTGATGGTGATTATAAAGAGGAAGCAGGGAAGAGAGGGAAACAGGATTCTAACTAAGAGTTTTCTTTCAGTGAGGAAATGAGGACATGTGAGGTTACTTTTTGTCTTCTCTGCATTTACCACTGTAGTAACCAGTGATTTCAGAATTAAACTCTGGAGGTGTTTCCTGATCTGTGACTCAGAAATTTTCTTCCTAACATCATTGTATTTATAATGATGCTTGTTAATTTAGACGTCCTAAGAATAATTAATAAATATTAAACAAATGCTCTTCTAGTTTATATAGTGTTTGACGGTAAATACATGTTACCTCAGTGACAAAGATCTAACTAAATGCCACAAAGTAGATAGTAACTGACTGTGGAAAAATGTAAAAACTTAAAGAATTACAGATAAAATATAATTGCCATTGAAACATAAATATCCTTGTGAACAAACAAAATGATAACAATCTATGTATCTGATTAAGCCAACTATATAGCCTTAATGAACCAACATTTAAAAAATATCAAAAGTAAGGTACAAACATGAACACTATGTCATCATATTTATCTTGAACACAAATGTCTGTAGCAAAGCATTTGCTATTCTGAGAATCTTCTGTTGTAACCTGTATATATTAACACGTCATTGTCCTTTTTGAATGTCTTAGATCCGAATTCTGGATCAAGTGAATATTCGTGACCCTGGGAACAACACCTGCAATAGTAGAGTCACCAAGGTGCCAGTAATGAAGCTTGTGGCTAACCTAGAACTGCTGTGTCCATACCTATTATAGTATAACCCTAGCATTTAAGTTCATGTTTTCAATGAAAAATGAGAGCAATGGTTTCCTGAGAGATGTTACACTGTGTGATACATGAATCCGGAGATGCTGGAGGCCCTTAAAGGAAGTAAGAGTTGGTGGAAGCAGAAATGTGCCTGGGCTCTAGTGCTAGCTAAGATCACTACCTCATGCCCCATGCACTGACTGAAAAGAGAGAGCTGGAGAGTGGCTTGCAGGAACCCAGCACTGGGACCTTCTCACATCTCAGCTGCCACAGTTGGAGCCAGTCATCAACTGCTCAGAATGTGAGCTAGGGAACTGCTGGGTTCTCACAGGCTGTTCTGGCAGGGGCTCTGGGATTGGAAGGATGGGCTGGCCTTACATATCTATAGTGTGATTCTTTACAAACATTTCCTGCATTGTCTTCGGGGACTCCTGGGCATTGCCAGAACTAAATCTTTGTCAGATCCTGAGGGTTGCACATGTCATGCTCAAAGTCTTATTACCATTATCACTTTAGATCTCTAGGTGAACTGTTAGTCTTTCGTCCTCAGTAGGGAGGATTTATTAAGAGGAATCTTTTGAATTTTTTATATCATCCTATCTCATATGTAATAGAATACAATCTGCTTCAAGAATACATTTGAGGGGCTGGGGATTTAGCTCAGTGGCTTAAGCGCCTGCCTTGCAAGCAGGCAGTCACGAGATCGATCCCTGGTACCGATAAAAACGAAAAAGGAAAAAAAAAAAAAAAAAGAATACATTTGAAAAGATTCAGTCATGGCCTGAGAGTATCAAAATGAACAGGTTGTTGAGTGAAAGATCTTCCAGCAGATGGCAAACAACCACACATTAAACAAGGAGTGATGCTTTCCTATGAGGGAGCCACTAAGGCAGGAAGCAATATGCCCAATTCTCTAAATTCACATGGCTAGGGCTTCTGTGCACAATGGGCCCGGTCTTCCCCATCTGCCAGTTCCTTACTATTTCCTGTTTCAATCTGTGACTGGTATTCACCTGACTATGATCAGCTACCCAGGAGACCTCTTGGTCAGCAATGAAACAGGATGGGTGACAATGAAACAGGTAGAGCCACAACTCTGAATGTGGCCAGCCATGAGTGAAACACTAGTGAAGTGGCCTGGTGTATTCTGAGGTGACAGATGCTATGTATCTCAACTGCAGTCAGAGGTGCTGAGGTGAAGCCCTGGAGGAGTCACTTAGAGGAGGGCCAGGTATATGGTGAGAGGGTCTGAGACTGCAGCTGTTTCCCAGCTGTTTTCCTGAGCACTTGGTTCAGAAATATTCTGACCCCCCGAGATCTGTTTACCAGTTTAAGTATAACCTGATGCTCACATTGTTTCTCAGATGATTCTAACTTATCCTGTAATGAACATCGAGCGCAAGAACCTGGCTGGGTGGTTGGTTGAACACAAGCAGAAACGTGCTTCTGTGTGTGCTATGGAAGCCTGGGGCTGGACAGCAGCATTGGTCAAGTCCTTCCCAGCCCTCTTAGTCATGCTGTGAGTGTGAATAGAGGAACCCAGAGAATTTCACAGAGTTCACAGATTCTGCTCTGTTCTTGTCTTGCCTTCTCATTTTTACTCTAAGTTTGAAACAGTCCATGTGTTTTTCTTCATTCTTCTTTCTCAAAGGGAATGTAACATAGGTCCATGGTCCTCAAGCAATGCCTGTTCTGTAATGTGAGAAGAGCAGTGCACTCTGATCGTGGGAGAACAGCCCGATTTCGTCCCATAGCCCAAGGGAGAAATACATGCTCTGTAGCCAAATCTGTGCTGCCCTGGTGTAGATAGGGTCCCCAGGGGACACTGAGCCTGTACTGACACTTAGCCAGCCTGCAGCTGGGCCAAACCCTTTCCAGCTCTGCTAATTTGCATATCCCAGGAGACCAGCCAGCTACTTCAGGACTTCTTCATAGGCTTGTGGTCTCACCCTGTGAAGCTCCAGTCCCACTCAGGACACACCATTGACATGGGGGTCCTCACTCACTTTCTGGGCCTCTTGGTGCTCTCGATATCAGGTAAGAAAGGGCAGCGTCAGGAATTCATTCAGCTCTGAAGTTACAGAGTTGCCTGATATTTCAGTGTGGTCCTGTTTCATCTTGAAGATCTATGTTAATATTTTTTATGTTTCCCATTTCAGGTGCCAGATGTGACATCCAGTTGACACAGCCTCCATCTGCATCTGCTTCTGTGGGAGACACAGTCAAGATCAGTTGCCGGGCCAGTCAGAGTGTTGGTAGTTACTTAAACTGGTATCAGCAGAAACCAGGGCAAGCTCCTAAACCCCTGATCTATCATGCCACCAATTTGCAGTCTGGGGTCCCATCAAGGTTCAGTGGCAGTGGATCTGGGACAGATTTCACTCTCAGCATTAGCGGCCTGCAGCCTGAGGACTTTGCAACATACTACTGTCAGCAGCATAACAGTTTGCCTCCCACAGTGATACAAGCCATGACATAAACCTTCCAGAGAAGCAGAAGTGTGGGCCTGGGCTCCCTCAGCTGCTCCTCTTTGTGTCTCCAGCTGTGGACCAAGATCTTCAGATGCATCCAGGCTTTGAAGAGCTCTGGACGGATTTGGTAGAAGCCTCCAAGGAAGCTCCTCTCTCCACTAACTTTCTTTTCTGTTTCTCACCCCTGATTCAATTAAAGATGTCTTTGAAGACACTGAAGTAATGTGGATTATGGCATCATTTTGCATTCACTTGGCAACAGAGCAGTTCTTTTTGGGTTCCAAGCAATAATTTTTGAAATAATTTATCACTGTTACAGATTTATTAATTAATTTTATTTTTATTTTAAAGAGTCTAAAACCAAAGTTCAACAAAATAAATTTAATCAAAACAGTATAGTGAAATCCATATTGCACCTCAAAGCAAGGCAATAGAAATCATCAGAGGCTAGCATGTGGTATAACATGATTTCCAGAGTAACTTCCCATAGCATCAGAGGTAATGAAGTTAAGTAAACCAAATGGAATAAAATCAAAACAGAACAGTGTAAACAGTACAGAACATCAAAATAAGATTTTAAGATATTAATAACGGCTGCAGTTATGCCTCTTCAAATCATACCTGTAAAGATCTATAGTCACAACAAAAGTTAAAGTGCAAAGGTATTTTTATGCCTCTGTCCCTACATCTGCATAGTAGATTATCACCATATCAACTTTGTCCTAACCCATCAAGATAAGTTCAAAGTTCGTGGTTCACATTAATTTTGACTCTTGACATTAAATATTTCAGCACAAAACCCAGGTATAAAGCCAAATGTCCAAAATGTGTTATGAAATAATGTTGTCATAATACCACTGTCTCGTACCTGTACAGCTTCTTTTTCCTCCATGTTCTGTAAGAGAATTGTGTCGTCCCATGACTATCGATTTTGCTTTTCTCAAAAGACAAAATCCTGGTGTTTACAGTATGGAAGATTTTCAAAAACTGATGTCAAAATATGCTACTATGGAACACAGAAATAAAAATAATGAGGAAAACATTTCGCTACTGCCAAGACTCCCTTTATAGCATTTATTATTATCAGGAGTATCCTGGCACAGTAAGGGTATTAGATCCTTTACTGTGCAATGCTATGGCGCTTTCATAGAACTGACTGTGTCACAGAGGTCAGCAGTTGGATACTGATTGTTTGGATGGAATGTTAAGAGTCTATTGTAATTTTAAAATAGCAGAGGGAGTTTTAAACTTTTTTCTTTCAGGTTACATTATCGATACACCCTGTTATAAATTCTGATGCCAATACAACCAATTGGTTTTAAAGGTGGACCCTGGAACTCTCACTTTTCTTTTGATAACATTCAGATCCTTTCACTATTTCACTGAACCCAGCTCCGTTTCATTCTCTACCAGTCAGGGAGCTCCCATTTTTTCATGCTGATCTTTCTCTTACAAATGAAAAAAAAAAAAGAAAAAAAAAAAAAAAAAGGTTTCATTTTTTTTGCTGAAGAAAAGTATCTTCTCTTATTATTTCCACATCTTACTGTGTAGTTTTTAGGCTGTGGCACTTGAACACTTTCCATAAACACAGCATTGCAGCCCCTGGGAAAGAATTAAGCAGACATGTTTCTTAGGAAAACAGTAGGGTGTGATATCACTAACACTGGGCCATTAGTATGTTTTCTAGTATTTCAGTAAAGATGGAAATGGCAGAGGAGGTTGCAGCCATTTTGGGGACATAATTTTCAAGTGTCATAACAATTTTTTTAATAGAAATCCTCACATTCAACTATAACAAGCATTCTCTCTGTGTAGTCCATTCCCTCCTTCTTCAACCCACTGACAAGATGTTTTCATGTATCCCTGCTCTCCAATATTTTCTTTATTAATTTTTTGCCTTTTCAGTAGAATGTATTAATTGATTAGCTCTCCATCTTCTACAACATTTCAGGCATTGAAAATGGTAATTAATAAATGCTTTAATGACCTTTGCCTCCTCTAATTACTAAGGTATCAGTTAAATAAAATTTCTAAAAAGTGGTGTGAGCATCTAAAATGCACATCGATTCCAAATGGAAATGGTGAACACATGAATTCCTAGAAGAGAGTGGCAGTCTTAAAAACCTATTTTCATAGTGTCACATAGAGATCTCAAGTCTTTGATTATGCACTCGAAAACACCTATTATCTCACATCTTGCCTAAAACTATTTAAACCAGCTTTATTCATAGCAGGCTGACAGAAAAGTACCTCAGTCATCATCAGCACATGAAGCAATACATTATGATATCTCCATCAATTAAACAGTGCTCAGAAATGAAGAGGATCCCACTATTGGTACATGATTAATATGAAGTGAACCAATAACCAGCTATGTTGTGTTAAAGGACAAAGTGAGTAGTGAATAGAAGCTATATTATTTCTTTTTGTATGAAATTCTAGGGAGGGACAATCTAACATGCAGCTACAACAGATAGACCCAAGTTTGAAAAGTCCATGGGGAGAAGAGGAAACTGATTAAACGAATGGCAGTAAAAGTACTGCTTATTCACGATAATTTGTTACTCTAGTGGAATTTTCCAATGTAATTTTGATGGAAATTACATCAAATCTATAATCCACTGTGGATGGTATGAACATTTTAGCAGCAGTAATTCATCTAATCCAGGAACAGGTGGCAACTGTCCATTTGGTTGTGTCTTCTGTAATTTCATTCTCCACTTTCAGTGCTGTCTAATGTCTCAATATTTCTCTAAAGATTGCGTGTTTGTGTCCTGTTTGCTTTGTTTTGCAGCCTAAAGTTACAGTCCTGCACTTTCTGCTGAAGCTGCTCTACACACACTTGTCTACCATGTATTTCATTAATTCATATTTATTTCTGATCTCATTTGGCTCAAAATTTTTCCAATATGAACTTAATTTCATTTGCATGTCCTACAGTTCCTCACCATGTATTAAAAAAAAAAGAAAAACTGCACAGAAATCTATAATTAACTTTAATATCTTTGGAGAAATGACTACCTGTGGATGTTTTTTCTGAACTCCATTTTTTTGCTTATCCAGATTATTTACCTTTATTTCTATGATGTTCTACTTTGTCTTATTGAAGCTCTTTGTTAATTCCCCATCCAGTTTTGCAATGCCAGGGATACAACCTTGGGTTTTATGCATGCTTGGCTAATGTTTTACTGTGAAGCTCTATGACCATTTCCTACAAAAATTTCAAAATATATTGTCACTCATATAGTTTTTGTTGTTTAAAATATTTGTGGATATTTTAGTCCCTTTGATTTTTCTTGTATATTCTAGAGGCTGCTTTTCCATTTAAATCAATCATTTGTAGATTGATTTGATTTCATTGCCTGAAATACATTTGTGTAAATATATGTATCTTTTGAAAACATTAAATGTTAATAATATCAAGATTTCTATTTGATGGGCATGGAAAAAAGTCTATTTACCTAAATGTTTTGAATTTATAAGACATAGTAAATATGTTGACAGTGGACCTAGAGACTTTATGAAATTATTATTCTACTGGTTTTTGGTGTACTCATAAGAATTATTTTAAAAATGTTATTGGAAGTAAGTGAAGCTATACCTTTTTTCCTTTAACTTGTGAATTTTATTACTTTTTCTTGTCTTCTTGTGTTTCCTAGAACTTTCACCATAAGTTTGCATAAAAGTGGTTAAAGTAGATATGCCAGCTTATCCGTTCTTAAGGATGAAATATTTTGTTGGTGAATGTGATGTAGATACTTCATTGGAGTGTAAAGAGTTTTCTAAAACTATTAAAATGAAAGTGCCAGATTTTGGTTTGATTGATGGATTGTAACAGAACAATGCAGAGAATCACCCAAGGAATAGTTTTTAGCCTGCACAGGAAGTTCTAGTTCTGATTTCAATGAAATGGAATCAGTGTGCTGAAGAGGGAGAGATGCATTGCAGCTCATCTGTGAAGCTGTGGTTGTCCCCTGACCTACACCACTGAGCCTAAGTGCATGTCGTCCTTGGTAAATTCCCACAAGGGTAAGGCTGCATTCCTAACCTTTGGAAAAGTGTGAAAAACTGCAAAGGAAAAGAGTATCTGGAAGACAAATTTCATACAAAACCTTATTTCAACCAGACACAGTTATGCACCAAGGGAGATGATAAATTATATTAGAGGTGGAGAGAACCAATGTAGGCTTAATCTTGTACCTAATAGGGTTGTTTTGAAGACCATGTGGTTGAGTTTGGAGTTTTGGCAAGACAGGAAGACACCAGGATCCAGTTCCATGACCCCAGAGTAGAATTGTATTCTGTGGCTGTGCCCAAGGGCCTTTTGTTCTTACTACCTAGGCCTGGCTTGCTCAAGTGAGGACAAGAAGAGTCCAGTGTTTGTGTAGCTGCAGGCTCAGCTCATCTCACTGTTGCTGCTCTGCATGCTTCTCCCAGCACCCCTGATGTTCAGAGTGCACATTACTGCCTGAACCAGAGCTCTGTCAAAACCTGTATCAGGGAGGACTGAGCATGTACTGTGCAAGCCCTGGCTAGGCTCCTCTGTCTCTTGATACTGTGAATCTCTGTTGAGGGCCACATGAGATATTTTTGCATATCTATGAAAACTCTCGTTGTTAGCTTCTATGTAGAGTAGTAGATTCTGTGTTCAATAAATTTCATAATTCAAGTTCAATGTAGAGCAATTAGCTCAGTTGCGAAGACTATTGGTATGACTTAGATTACATGGAAAACTCTTCTATTTTATTTTTCAATCTCAGATTCTACTGGGGAAACCCTGCTGACCCAGACTCCAGTCTCCCTGGCTGTGTCTCCAGGAGAAACAGTCACTGTCACTTACAGGAGCAGTGAAAGTTTTAGCATCTATCTAGCCTTGTTCCAACAGAAACTGGGACAGGCTCCCAGGATCCTCATCTATGACATCTCCAGCAGGGCTGCTGGTGTCCCAGCCCTATTCATTGGCAGTGGCTCAAATACATACTTTCCTCTCACCATCAGCAGCCTGCAGCCTGAGGACATTGCA